CAGCACTTGGGAGGCTGAGGCAGGGGGATCATTGTGAGTTTGAAATCAGCCTGGGCTACAAAGTGAGCTCAAGGTCAGCCTGAACTGCATAGTGAGACCCTGTCTCAAAAAAAAAAAAAAATCCTAAAAAAAATATAGATATATTGTGTGATCTAGCAATCTTGCTTCTTAGTATATATTAAAAGAAAATGATATATACATACCAAAAAAATACTTGCACATGTGTTCACTGCTGCATACTTCACAACACCTAAAATATGGAAATCAGGCGAATGTCCATTAAAAGATGAATGGATAAGACAATGTGGTGCACATACACAGTGGAGTAATAGTCAGCCATAGATATTTGTGATATACAGCAAGTGGAGTGGATGCTATGAAATGAATTATATAAGATATAGAAAGACAAATATTCCATGTTCTTTCTAATATACAGATACTAGAAAAAGTCAATCCAGTTGTAGGATTGTGATTACTTAAGGTGGAAAAGAATGTGGAATAGAAATTGTGTAATGAACATCAAAACTGTTCTGTAAATGTTGTAGTGTTCTACAGTAGAGGAAGTGACCATAACTTATTACATATTTTATGAGTAAATGAAAGAAAAGTGTAGACTCTTCAAACTACTGATAAAGTGGTAGTAATATAAATTAACTTGATTTGATTAGTACACATTGTATCATATATTGAAATATCATACTGTACCTTATACATATACACAGTTATTATGCACTGAAAGATTTGTAAAAATTTCATTGAGATGGGAATTTAATTAGGTTGATGTGATAATATTACATACATGTATTCACTTATCATATTTGTACTCCATAAATATGTACAAGTAAAATAATATTAATAGGTTCAATTTTTGAGTGAACAATAAAATAGTAATGAATAAAAAAGTCATCACTAAACATAAGGTCATCTAGTTTTTTTTTTCTTTTCCTTATGTTATTTTCTAGAAGTGTTATAGCTTTGGATTTTATAGTAAAGACTATGACTCACTTTTAGTTAATTTTTATAGAAGATGTAAAGTCTGTGTCTAGACTCAGTTTTTTTTTACATATAAATGCTCAGCTGCTCCAGAGCATTAATTGAAAATGCTCTCTGTGCTCCTTTGTTAAAGGTCAGTTAATCATATTCATGTGACTCTGGTTTTGGTCTGTCTTCTGTTCATGTTCCTTTTCTGTTTTCTCACCAACACCAACTCTCTTAATTACTGTAAATTTAGAGTAAGTCTTGAATTTGTCCACTTTTAATGTGACTCTTTTCTTCATCTCTACTTTGATTTTACTTGCTTTTTAAATCCTTTAAATAAACTTCTAGCATGTTTTTAATTTTCTATTTATTATTGCTATTTAGTCACAGAAAAGATAACACTTTCCAAGAAATTTACTTTAGCATATGCCGTATATAGATATAATTTTATATGAAGAGAAACTATGGCAGAACAGGGCCCTTCACAAGGAAACACAGGAAAGGCAATAAAGGAATTTGTCCACACAGACTTCTGATCTGCATTATTTGATTCTTTTTCTCAAAATACAAAACCTAAATATTAGAAGCAAAGAGAAAAACAGTAAAGAAGAAAACAGTGAAATAAAAGACCAAGGATAAGTAACTGTTCTACGCTGATGCACTGCATATATAGTATATATGTATGGGCTGAATGATAATAGAAATACCTAGGTATTATAGTCAATTCTCATACAGAGTTAGAAACAGCAATTTCCACTCAAGCAGGATTGGACCAACACTTTCTCAGTCTTCTACTACATGAGGAATAAAGCTGTGTAACAGTCACGTCTGAGTAGCAGTATCATGGTAAATGCTTGACAAGATACAACTTTTCTCCTTGTTCACTTGTAAAAATTGGTGCCTTTTTGTAATGTTCTACATGTTCTTCCATGGTGCTGAATTTACATTGCCCAATGCAGTAAAAGGTCTCTTTTAGTTGGACTTTAAAATGCTTGTTTTTCCCTTGTGCTTTCAATGATACTGAAAAGTCATTTGGCGAATATTCACTATCATGGATGAGAAAATCTCTTTTGTGTCCTCTTTCATTTAATGCCATTTCTGCTTGATGTCTGGTAACTTTGCCATAATACCAAGGTTTGCCAGCAAACTTTCCAGGGAGTGAAGGCCTAACATAATTACACTATGGAGGTGACGGTTCTGGTTCCAAAACTGAAGTTAATGAGTTATTCTGCATGATGGTAACACAGTTTTTTGGTGCCAGACCAACCATACCATTGATCTTCCTGCATTTCCACCACTCTGGGTCACTTTCTGGCTTTTCAATAACATCCATTACATCGTCTTTCTCAAAATTAAGTTCTTCATCATTGGACGAACTGAATGGGTAAAGAGCCTGTACCACATGCAACACTTGCCCAGTTTAGGTTATTGACAACTGCTGCTAATTTTTCTGGCAGTGAACCCACAGGGTCACCCAAGGGACTGTCACCTTCTTCAGTTACATAGTTTGAGGAGAACCATCTGATTTGTCCATTGTAGCTACCGTGCCACCACCCACCACTGCATATCTCCATGACAATCACTTTTGTTCCTTTTATCAATGATAATTCATCCTCTCTCTCAGCCATGCAGTTAAATTTCACATAGGCAGGCATATTGAGGTCATAAAGATGTTCCCTTAGGTCAACAAAGCTGTCATCAGCAGGCGATGCAGAATCTGGAACACTAGGTTTTCTTCTCACTTTTCCAATGCCTAAGGTATCCTTTAGGATTTTCACAATAGATACTTCCCAAGCATTAGTTTTCCTTTCCATGTAGTTAGAAGGCACAAAACCTGTTTTATTCATGGAATTTCTAACTCACCACCGGGATTTAGAATCATCCAGAAGCCATAATCTCTCATTCTTCTTAATGTTCAGCTCTTGTTCGTGTTGGGCCACATAATCAAACTTGGCTACTACTACCACCACTTCTTCTGCCATATTTCAACAGTCTCAGCACTCCTAAGTCTCCATTACATCCCAATGTGCCATCAAATTACAAATCCATCAATGGATTAATGCACAGATGAAGTTAGAGCCCTCATGATCCAGTCACCTTACAAAGTCTTGTGTTCCTCACGCTGAGCCCAGGCAACTCCAGTCACCGAGGAGGGAACCCAGACGAACCTGGACACCACCGCAGCCACCTGGAGGGCTGTTTAGGCAGGAGGCCTGAGTTTGACCTCTGCATAGCTCTCCGGAGAGGGGTGGTTCGTGCAGGCCAACTTCTAGGATTTTTACTCTTCTAGTCCTCTTGCTTTGGTTGATCTTTATAACATAGCACTTGGTCTCTCTGTAGCTCATATTCTAGGTTGTAGGGATTGTTGAGTTCTGTAGCTTCTAGGCGAGTTCCTCTTTTGAACCAGGTCTTCCATACATTACTGTAATCTGTAATGATTTATTAAGCAATTACAGGGCATTTATTCAAGACTTCATTTCTGTTACTATCATTTCAGAGATAAATAAACTGAGGACCTGGTAGTTGAAAAATGTGACTGGGATCATAGGTTTTTCAGGTATCCATTGTTCTCTGTGACACATTCTAATGTGCTATTAATCCAGATTATTAATTCTAATAATTAATAGATTAATTAATTAATCTATAATTCACCTATTGGGCAAAGGGAGGAGGGAGTGGTTGGCCAGCTGAGTAGGTCATTTCTCCTTCCTTGTTTGTCTCCCCAAGGTAATTTTATTTTTCACTGGTTGTGTCAACATGAGTTGGTCTTCACATCTGTACACATTCAACGTTTATCTTTTGTGTGAACTGTGAGTTAGCAGAATACTCTGCTTACTATGCCAGTTCTTGGTGTGCTGCTTGTCAAATGGAGGTTATAATTTCCCTTAGTTTATTTTTCATGAAGTGGTTTCTAAAAGTTTGCTGTTGAGTTTAGGATATTTATACATGGAATATGCTTAAAAGCTTTCTCGTGGGCCTGTATTTTACTTTTGTGACAGTGAAGTGTAGAAGAAACATAGCAAAGTTGACGCTATGAGATGAAAGATGTGCAATACCTAAAACACCCAGGAGCCCCTGAAGCAAACGTATACCCACGTTATTACAAAAGTTTTATGTAAATATACACAGGGAGGAGGTGTTCTTTTGCTCCTGTCGTGACTTACCAGGGTTATTTCATTACAGCCTTTGAAAATTTCATTAACTGTCCTTGTCCAACATTTTTTCTTCTTTTTGGGTTTTTAAACTCTCGCTTTTCATTTTATTACTGTTTTGCTCATAAAGCTGTCAAAATTTAGGTATCTTTGAGGGAAAGGAACTGGTTTCTTGCCACAGAGCACACGAAAATGCCCCTGGCTTGTCCCCGGCTTCCTTCTGCAGGGGTGCACGTAGCTGCCCATCTGGTGAACGCGCTCAGGTTCTCCGTGAACTACAGCGATGATTTTGTGGAACTGAACGCAGCGAGATACCGACACGAGGTGGGTGGTCTCTGTCTCCCATTTTCCTCTCACTTGTCATTCGATGACTAATGAGGGTCTGTGATTTTCACAGAAAATTTATACCTTGCTGCTCCTTTTGAGTGCTTTTAAAATGCAGTTGTCAAGTTGAGTTTTATTCCCTTTCAATCGAAAATATAGGTAATTACTATTTCATAGTCTTTCATGCTGAAAATGGGAGTTTGCAAAGTGTCTACTTTTTATATCCTGCAGTATTCAGATGGTTGCCACTCAGAACTACCTTCTGACTCCCAACAGCTTTTGTCTAATTCCTGTCATTCAGCTATGTGTCGGCAGTGCAGTTATAGGGTAAAAATACTTTAGTGCACATACTGTGCTTGAAGGAATGGGCAGAAAATCAGGCCGATTATTTGTATGTACTGGATAATCAACTTATTGTCTTAAAAAATTAGTGAGTTTTCAGTCTTCATTCTTCCTTTATTTTAAATCCTGAAAATAGATGACCTTGAGCTGAGTTGTGTAGCACGTAATATGACTTAGGGGTGCACTTTTCCGTGTGAAGCCACTTGTGAAATGAAATTATATGTGCAAGGTACTGGTGTACAGCTCATGCATAACCCTGGTGAGTAGATCTTCCTTGCCTAGTCCTGTCATATGTCTTCAGGCTGATTTTTCTTCTTAGTGCCAAGACAGCAGCAGAACTAAGCTGTTCTGTAACTCCTTTGGTTCAGATCCTGCCTTTTTCTGCTGTTAGCAACTTAACATGATTATTCCCCATTTTTATACACTCCATTTTCTTTTTTAAGTATCACCAGACTTTTGGGGATTAATACTGCTGTAGTCATACATAAGCTTCACCTCCCTCCCCAAACGAAACAAAGGAAAGAGTTATATCAGACAAGTAACAAATCACAAAACCAGAAGAACAACTTGCTTCTGCTATTTTATTTATTTTAAAGATTAAAAAAACTAACAAAACAACATTAATGAAAGAAACAGTCAATGCTTAAAATTTTCTTTTTTCTTGACCAATGTTGCACACTTGAATCTGGTAATCAGAATGACTGATCTGAAAACAACAATTTGTAGTATAAGAACCATTGTTGAACTCCTACCATCTTGTATTGTGAAGCTCTACATTATTTCCAATTTTTTTTTATTACTTGTTACTGTCTTTGACTGATCTGCTGGTATTTTTTAAACAAAACACTACTATGGTTTAATTAGTATTTGATGATTTTATTAAGCTTACTAGGTAATCATAGACTGCACCTAGCGTGGAGAATTACTGAAAAATCTACCTCCTAGTATGACAACAGCAGCTCTCAGCGTGTGCTGATGTGGGGGCCCAATCTCCCTCGGTCTCTGGCTCCCACGCTCTCCCTCAAGCCTCCTGTCTTTGCCCACATCTGATAGGGTTCCTTGTTTCCTGCTCTTGCTGTACATTTCCCTTTCCTTTTGGTTTCCTTTTGTCTCTTTTTAGAATTTATATTTTTAATACCGATAATATGTTACCATTTTTAATGCAGTCCACCTTTGCTTACGTTTTCCAAATATTTGTAGCTATCTTAGTTATTAAATTTATTTTATGTTGAGTGATAGACATGTAAACAAAATATTTAAAACTGACTAAATGAAATTAAAAGTGAAAGCTTTTCTTCCAAAACTAGCCACAGTTAATTATTTTATGTTCCTTCTAAGAGATTTGAGTGGGATTTTCTAATATTAACTCCTCTGAAGCTTGTTTCTGTAAATATACATGGATAGATTTACTGTGCTAGCATATATTGATGTAGCTCATTCCCTTCATATATTTGTTCTAAATTATTTTTAGCCTTTTCCTTGTTTTAGAGGCATTCAGGTTGATGCTGAGTAAATTAATTTCTTTGTACACTTCTACTACACAGACTAGTAGACATAGAATTTTGATTTGAAATGTGCATTTTAAGTTTTGAAGGAAAGTGACAAACTGCTTTCCAAAATGGTCTCTAAAGTTTACATTCACTGATCAACAGTGTATCCAAGTGCCTATTTCTATGCCTGTCTCTTTTTACCCCAATCTGATGGATCAAATGGACAACTTATTGTTTTGAAATATATTGTATTTTCCTTTTCTTCCTGCCTTCCTTTATTTCATCCTATATATTTCCCTTTATTGTTTCTCCTCTTCTTTTAGTAAATATGTATTTACAGTCTCATAAGTATGGGACATTGTGCTAAATAGAGATGAAAATAAATGTGTGTGCATGTGTGCACACGTGTGTGTATACGCACAGATATGCTATTCTGGGCATTGTCTTTGAAAGGGATGATTTTGTGCCATGTACCATCTCACTCCTCTGTTATGCTTTTACTCAGCCTGGAGTAACTGATGACTGTTGTGCGTTTTTGGTGGCTCAGTTAAATATGCCTCATTTTGTTTTCCATGAAATTATTTTACTGTCATGTTCCAGCTTCTCTTGGTAGTACTAATTGTTCCTTCTTCCGGATTTTCATGTCAATTTATTCATATTTCTGGTACTCCTACCTTGCCAAACTCACTGTACATTTCTTTGTTAACAAGCTGTTTATGTATTGAGCTTCTCTAGATCACACTGTAGCCATTTTTGTAGTACCAAGAAGATAAGTCATGGAACCTAAGGCAGGTGATGAGCTACTTCAGGAGAGGTGGACCTAATTTGAGACTCCTGAAATTGCATCATATGAATGACTTGCACCTTACATTACAGCCTGGACTAACTCCAGATTCAAAGGACCATTAAGAAAGGGAATTCAAAAGCTTGTGCAGGTAGCTAGGTGTGTCATTCAGTGATAGAACACTTGCTTTGCATGTGCAAGGCCCTGCATATAATTTCCAACATTGCAGGAAACAAAGCAAAATGAACAAATTAACAAAGCTTGTGCAGTGCTAAGTGCCATGAGGTTGAAAAACAGGCGTAAATATTGAAGATTGAATTGTTTCCTCGAGGTGGAAAGAGAGTTGACTATAGTTAATTACAGCATCATCGAAAAAATTCAAAATAAGTATTATAATAACTATTAATATTTTACATTTCCAAGAAGCAGAAACTTATCCTTCTTGTCTCCATACTACGTCTCATAGAATTTAAACAGGAAGAAATTAACACAATGGTTACAACAAACACTGTGAGCTTCCTATCACCTTGTTTGAAATTCTGTATTGCTTTTATTGTTTTTGTGTTGTTTTTTGTATGTCTGTGTGTTTGTTAATATATTTTCATTCTTTTATGTTTAAAATAAAAAAAGAATTTTAACAGTAAGTTCTCAGCTGTGTTTTTCACTGAGTTTACAGTGTGTAAACCCCCCATATATTTTATCAGTATTGATTCTCCCTATCTTGAAGCTGTAGTTTGGCATTTGTAGTAGACAGAATATATGTTAATATTTTCACATTACAACTAAAGATTTGAGTCTCAGAATGGTAGATTGTGAGCCTAAGACCACAGCCAGTGGCTGATAAGTAGTCAGTAAGATTAGAACCCAGGCTTTTGGATGCATGCAGTTCTCTGCTTTTCTCAGATGCTCTATATTGGATTTTATACTTGTTATAATCTCCTCTAGCAATGTGAAGCTTAATTATCTTGCACTTCAACTGGGAAGAACAGTGCCTTACATGCTAAATACTTGGTTCTTATACTCTACTAATTTCGTGTAGAATTTTATATCATCAGTATTTTATTTTTTTGTCAAATCTTTTCTTTTTCCTTTTTCTTAGGATCCTAGAAAACTTCTTTTCACAACCGGTAAGTTGTTATTCATTCCCCTTTATAGAGTCCAGAAGATCACTGAAAATAGATGCTGTCAAGTTGCATAGCAATTAGACACATGCAAAAATATACCGTATGGAAGGTTGCATAATAGAACAAATATTAAAATCCAGGCATAATGTTTCCATGAAAACAGAGGGACAAGGCAAACAGTTGGTGTGTGTCTGAATGGAGAGGACAAGCAAGCCATCACATCTCTCTGGCATGTGTTCTTTCGTGAAGATCAGTATGACCCCACCTGCTTGGCAAGGGGCTGCTTTGCACTTGCTGTTGTGACAGATGCTCTGGGAGGTAATATACATGGAATGGATTTCTTTCCAGGGTGTTGGAAACAAACAGCAAATACTCCATCAGTGCAGTTCTTACAGTTCAGTAATTTAGCAGGACATTGATGTTGAAACATTTAAGAGGAGAAAGTCATTAAAATCAGCTAGTTTTTGATCTGTCTTCTTTTCCCTTGTAATTTATTTTCCCCTCTCAGGCTTATTATCTGTGAAATCTCACTCTAGACTATTAAATTGTTAAAGCACATTTGAACATCTCATAATTTTTCCAATACACAAGTCTAAAATTCTTCTCTTTCTTTATCTTACATTTCTTTATAAAGATGAACAAAGAAGGGTGCATTAAGGGGATTTTTAGCACATATTTTAGCCACAAGGATCATTGGATGGCTGAGATAATCTAGCATAAATGTCAGCTGTACTAACCTATTAATGATCAGAGGGCACATCACTCTGTCAAATTCATTGTTTTCCTCTTGAACCCATTTTATGAGGAAAAATAACAAAACTTAAGTACTAAACTCTCTATGTCACTTACATGATTATACTTATAAAATATATTTTCTTTCTGCTTACAGATTTACAATATTACTACTATTAAGCATTTTGTAGTTTTCACTTTAGGAAAACAGTTTCATTTTGCTTACAAATTTTTGTCATCAAAAATATGTTCCTAGTTTTCTCAAGAATTGCATGAGAAACAGGAGAGAAAAGCAGGAAAGCAAAATCTAATGTACATATCAGTGTCTTTTTGTTTATATGAATGAATTTAAGAGAAATAAAGAACTTTGTTTTGCTATTTTCTGTTGCAAAAGTTTAATTGAAGCCTTGGGACATTAAAGATGCTTTAAAATGTAGTTCAGAAAGATTTAAAAAGATTTCATCCTTTTTTAAAATTTTATTTTACATAAAAGTAAACAATAAAAACAATGGTGTAAAATTTCAAAACAAGACTGTAGGAGAGTAACAATGGTTAGGACAAAGGGATTTCTCTTATGACTGAGATTCTGTGTTAACACAGCATCTCTCCACTTCCCATAAAGCTCTGTTCTCTTATTTTTTCCTGGAGGCCCTCATGGGTGGCACTGGCATTAGTACAGATAATTTAAAAACACAAATCTGGTTCTGTTTTAGAGTGTTTCTGGAGAGACTTTGCAATGTGCTTGTTATGGTTTGTGTCTGGATGTCCCCCCAAAGCCTCATGCAGTCATGGGTGGGCTTCTAGAGTTTTTGATCAATCCATGGTCCAGTGCTAGGATTATGGGTGTGAGTGCTACATCTGCCCTGGGGTGGGGAGCCTGCATACAATATAAGGAAGGGAGGAAAGAGCCTTGCTTCCACCCGCTCCACTCCCTTTTTGCTCTTGTTGCTTTTGCTGTTTTCTGCTGCCATGTACTGTTGCCCTCTGCCATGTGCCACCCTACTATGGAACCAGCCAAGTATGGACTGAAACCTCCACAAACTGCAAGCAAAATAAACCTTTCCTTCCTTAATTTTGGGCATCACGTATTTTGTCTCAGCAGCGAGAGCACAGTAACCAAGATAGTGTTTTACCCACCTTCCCAAGTACCTTGAGAGATTCTGGTCTACCTTCAAAGAACAGCTCATTGTACTCTTGACATCCTTTCTCACTACTGCCCACCTTTTGCCTGAAATAACCAACTCTCTTTTGTTCACTTGGTCAGTGCTGCTCATCTCTAAAGTCACAGCTGACAGGGTGTGGTTTTACTATGTTGTAGAAGAGTTTATTTCCTTCATGTGCAGTCTTTCCCACTTGAAAGTGAGCTTTTCCAGGATGCAGTCGGGCTGCTGCTAGGGAATGCAAGGCTGAAGGTGAATTCTCTTTTGTGGGGTTTCTGTCAATCTAAGAAACTTCTGAACTCAACGTAATTTTGGTGATCAGGACTCACATAATTTCCGGAAAGCAATATTGTGATGGCCAGCAGGAGCCGTCCACTTCCCAGATAATTGTCCTGGGTCTAGAGCTCCCTAATGTGAATCTAGAGCTCCTCGAACATCTGGTTGAATCCACCCAATAGTAGCAGATGACAGAATGTGGGGAAATCCAAAGCCAGTAGTGGGATGACAGATACTGCTTTCTACAAGTAGACTTAATTCAATCTTGTATTGTTACCAGTGGCTAAAACTATTCCATAACTGTCTTCGAATAGTCTTAGACACACTACCTAGGAAAAATTAAGTTTCTGGATAGAGGAATGCATACGTTTTGAGTTCTAGTGATAGAGTATATTCTTCTTAGTTGACAAATTTCTTGGATATTGCTGTGTTTAATATGACCTGAGTTTCCTACTCTACTTAAATTTCTTTTACTATAATTTGTGTATAAGAAATTAAGAATGTTTTTTAACAATTAAAATCTAGAAGTCCAAGTGACAAAATATGGTAATTGGACTTGCTACACAGAAAATAGTACAAAATATTTTCCATTAAGAATTTATAAAATAAGTTTAATAGCTTGGATTGCCCAAACATTTATTTAGAAATGATTAGATATTACATATCTCCAAATTTGGTAATACCTTGCTGGTGAAAATAGACACTGCACTCAATTTCAGCTAGAAAATTTGCATAAGCAAATACACTTACGTATCTAATTATGTTCAGAAAAGTAAGGTAATGAATTGAAGGTGGTATATTTCATCCATCAGGTATGGATAAAAATAATACCTGAAGTTCATTAGGAAATGACAGTTTAGTGCAATTACTCAATTTAAAGGCTATTAATTAGTGAATTTAACATGCAGATATAAAAACTAATCGGAATACACATATAAGTTTATATTTTCCTAAAAATCCAAGAATGTGTTTGCCTTCATAACTTTAAAGGCTCATAGGAAAACCAATGTAGTCACTTCAGCAAGTAACTTAAATCCAGACTAGTCTAATAGATTTCAGACTGCTTTTTCTGACTCTTGGAATGTGTAATAAGTCACCATTTTGTACATTTAGAAATAAGTTTACAATGTAGAAATAATTTTATAAATAAATGGTACTTGATACATTATAAATTATAGTCTTTTCTTCCCCTTGTGCTGAAGATTAAGCCAGGTAGGCCTGTTCTAGGCAAGTGCTCTACCACTGAGCAAGCATTTCACTCCCCCGCAAGTCTTCTGAATATATTTTCCACATTCTGCTCAAACAAAAGAAGGACTCTGTAGTCAAGTAAGTTTGAGGAAATCTTTAAAGTTCAAATGGGTTTCTTTTTTTTATTTTAAAGATAAGAGTAAAAAAAAGAACAATAACTAAATACAAACAAAACAAAGCAAGGACATTAAAAATGATACAGGGTTTCAAACCAAATGATAGGGATTAACAGTAATTGTTATATTACATATTGTTATTTTCAATGAAGTTGCTCAGATTACCAGATGTAAGACTAGAAGATTGATCAAACCATTAAAGGGAATAAGAAAATAATAATTTATAAGAACATTAGAGACAATACATAGTTTCACTAGACAGGATGGCAGGAATTCACCAATGGTTGTTATATTGCATATTGTTGTCTTCATATAAATTGCTCAGATTACCAGATACAAGCATGCAAAATTGGTCAAAATATATAGAAAAAAATTTAAGAATTAACTGCTCCTCTCAATAAACCACCAGACATCAGTAGTACAGTTATGCCAGCTATCTATCATCTATCATCTATCTATCTATCTATCTATCTATCTATCTATCTATCTATCTCTCTATCTATCTATCTATCATACCTCTCTAGTTGCATCCATTTACCTATAAAAGTCTTGAGTTTATAGCTGAGTCTCTTTTATAGCTGAGTAATACTCTAGTATATAAAAACACCACATAGTTTTTTATCCATTCCTCAGTTGATGGGCATTTGAGTTGTTTCCAAGATTTAGCTATGACATATTGCGTGGCTATAAACATGGGTGCACATATATCACTGTGGCATGATGTTTTAAATTTTTTTGAAAAATACCCAGAAGGCTGATAGCTGGTTTAAGTGGGATCTCTAATCCTACTTTTGTGAGGAATCTCCAAACTGATTTACACAGTGGTTTCACCGATCTACACTCTCACCAGCAGTGGAGAAGTGTTCCTTTTCCCCACAGCCTCTCCAGCATTTGTCATTGTTTGATTTTTTTAATGATAGCCATTCTTTCAGGGTGAGATGGAATCTCAGTGTTCTTTAATTTGCATTTCTTGAGTGACTAATGATGTTGAACATTTTTTCATATAGTATTTCTTCATCTGAGAAGTGCATATTCATCTCAGATGCCCATTTTTGGATTGGGTCTTTGAATTTTTGGGGACTGATTTTTAAAAATTCTTTATATGTTCTAGATAGGAGTCCTGAGGGGCAGTTGTATAAAATTTTTTCTCAATTCATGGGTTTTCTTTTTACTCTGTTAGTGATTTCTTTTGATGTGCAGAAACTTTTCAATAAGATGAGGTCCCAGCTGTTGATTCTTTGAAGTTTTCCCGTGCAGTTTGGTTGTTGTTCATGAACTCTCTGCCTACCCCTATGTCTTTGAGGTTTTTACCTACTTTCTCTTCCAGTAGATTCAGTGCTTCTGTTTTGATATTTAGATCTTTGATCCATTCTGACTTTAGTTAAGTGCATGGTGATAGACATGGGTCTAGTTTTAGTCTTTGACTTGTAGAAAGCCAGTTTTTCCAGCACCATTTATTAAAGAGGCTATCTTTCTTCCAGTGAACATGTTTGGCCCCTTTGTCAAAGATAGGTGGCTGAGTGTGTTTGTGGTTGTGGCTGCATGCAGCCATCAGTGGGTTTCTTGACTTTCATATTTCTCATAGACTTTAATACACTAATGTGTCCTGTAACTCTTCAAGAGGTGGCTATGCCTTTTTAAAGTAATACAAACTAATATCTCAAGGAACTACTGTTCAAATCATGACCTTTGGAAACTGTGGCACTATTCTAAACCTACTCAGATTTTTCAGATGACCTTCCAATGAGATGATTTGCAGACATTCCATTACTAATGTTGGCATGTTCAGAGTCACATAGGAGTCCTTGTATGTAAACATAGTTAAGGAAGGACCAATTAAATTTTTAGAGAGAGCCCCCTAATCACAGATTTCATGTTATCTGGGGTTTTTATGATTAGTTATTCATTTGATTAAACAGAACCTTTTAAAAATTACTTTCAACTAGTGAAACTAACCTTTTGTTTCTCTTAAATTTATTGAATTATAACTGAAGTTCAATAAATCCCACACATATGTAAAGTATGTAATTTGATTGGTTCTTGTATATAGTAGATATGTCAGATTGTAACCAAAATCAACATAACAAATATTTCTGCTACCCTCCAAAGTTTTTTGTACCCCTTAATAATACATACTGTCCTCTGTCTGTCTGAGCAACTCATCTGATTTCTATTACTCAAGAATGGTATGAATCTTAGAGAATTTATAAAGAAGTAATTACAGAACTTGTACTATGGGGCTGAGGCAGCAGGGCTTCTTTTGCTCAGTCTAATAATTTTCTATGTGCTTACATTGTTGATTAATATGTCAGTAATTCATAGTTTTTTACTACTGATTTATTTTCCAGGTGCAGTTAATATCACAATAGTTTGTTCATTCAATTGTTGATGGATATCTGAGTTATTTATGTGCTGATTATTAAAAATAAAGAAGCTATGACTGATCTTGAACAATCTTTGTGTGGTTATAAGTGTGTGTGTGTTTTCTGTTTTTTTGTGAGTAAACATTGGGGAGCACCATAACTACAGTGTTTTACAAGCATGCTATTTTTAAAAATAGTGTGTTTTCTGTACCAGCAAGTCTTTATTGTGAACTATGCTAGATTTCTTCCTCTTCACTTACCCCTCGGAAGTAAGCACTCCACAGGAGAAAATGGGAGAGACAGTGGAAAAGAGTCCCTCAGGAAGGAAGTATAGAGAAGCCAAGATTTGGATTTTGTATATCATGGAAACGTGCATTGTGTTGGGCCTCTGAATCATTGGGAAAATGAGTAGAAGAAAGTACTCAAGTGTTAAGACTCTTATTTTTCTTGTGGCCCTAGTCTCTACTGTACTGAGAGTTCTAATATTGATATTTTCCAATGATTTTAAGCCTGCTAGAATCCTAATTGTGCACACTTGTATTGGTCTTACACTGACCCAACTTGAATCTACTGTGAGTGGCTTGCAATTCAAGAAGATAAGTGGGAGATGTCTGTGCTTCTTCAGAAAGAATTGTTCCAACAGCTTTTATTTTTGTCCGATTCTAGGAGTCTCTTAAATGTGGCATTTATGACTTACTGTTGCATGTGTGATTTTTAGTGTGAAAAATGTAACATGCATAGGATATTTAATTTCCTAGTAATATGGTAGTAAGAAAGAATCCTACTGTGATTTTAGTGGTTTAAACTATGTTGTACCAGCTATTTATTTTGGATATGCAGTACTGGGTAGACTAATGCTAAATTTGTAACAATCTACCACGTTAGTTTTGACATGTTTGCACATTTTCTTATTTTTTAAAACAAACTTTATGCCATGGGAGAAGCATTGACTTTAGAATGCTTTCCATATTAAGAAGGAATACATTTGCTGTGTTTTTGAAACATCAGCACAATAATTTGTTCTTGAAACATACAATTTTTATTGTTTTTAGTTTTTTAAAACAGCTTTAGATTTATTTTTTATTTATGTTTATTTTTTTCCCAAATCAGATTTTATTGCTACATTTTAGGTATACATAATAATCACACTCATCATAGAGCATCTGTACCCATACATGATATAACTTGGCTCTTTCTTCCCATTCTCCTCCCCTCCCTTCAAGCTCTCCTCCCCTCCCCATTTACAAAGCTTTGCTTCCATTTTTTCTTCTTTTCTCATTTTTTTTTTACTCCCCCCCGCCTTTGTTCCCCTCCCCATTTGAACATTTTCTTCCTATTTCACAGTATTATACGTTTTGGTCCATATTTACACTTTCAATCTGTCACACCAGAGAAACAATGTGGTATTTATACAAGTATGTCTGCTTGATTTCACTTACGAGTATGGTCTCCAGGTGCATATGTTTTCCTAGAAATGTCTCAAGCTTATCCTCCTTTATGGCAGAGTAGTACTCCTTTGTATAAAAGAAATCACATCTTTATCCATTCACCAGTTGATGGCCATTTGGGCTGTGTCCAAGAGTTGACTATTACAGATTGTGCCACTATAAACATGGGGGTGCATATATTGCTGTGGTGTGATGAAAAGTTTTAGATTTAAAAAAATGTTTCCTTTAAAATATCCTGAAGCCCACACACAATTATCAAAACTGATGGGGGCTACTAGTTCTGTGAAAGGAAGGGCGAGGGAATTTGAGGACTGTGGAGAGAGGACAAAGCAGCACAGTGCTGAGTGTTAACCCAAGCCCCCTGGAGCCAGTACTGCCGTTTAATACAGTTTGTGTCCTTAGAAGTGATTACAGACTCACATTCTGCACAGATTATTTGGAAATACAAGAGACTTTCATGAAAGAAGAGAGAATCTGTCTTGTCTTAAGTACTTTGAAACTCTGCTGATTTTAAGAGGGCTTGTTTATTTGGCTTCCCACAGAACAGCATATTACTTTGTATTTTAAGGGGATTTTTTTGTAGTTATTTTTCTCAGTGTGATTTGAGCTAAAAGGTACTTATGTACATTTTCATAGTGCCCGGCCTGACAGGAGTCTGCTTGGTAGTGGTGCTATTCCTAATGACTACAGCCTCCACATACGCAATAAGGTAAGTGTAAGAGTTGGTTTTTGGTTGCTTTTACCAGCCCATAATATTCAGATGTTTCATATTATCTTCTCTTTTCATCTATGGGAAAAGGTACTGATTAACCACTGTAGTTAACCAAAACAATACCCTGGTTAGTGGGCTATTCTGGGTAATAAGGTGGAAGGAGAAACATTTCTGTGTATTATTTCTTGACAACTGATTTCTATTAGTCAGGTTTCCTGGGTTTGGACACAGTTGTGTGTGGAGACTGTATCTGATGGGCAAGGAGATTTAAGTTCTTCATGACCATCACTTTGAGGCTCAGTGTGCATCTGTGGGACATAAGATTTCATTCAACAGCACACCTATGGGGCTTGGGGATGCCTAAGAAGACATAACTTAAAATTATTTTATAGCTCATTTCCTGAATCAATTTTGCTTTGCTGTTTTATAGTAGTGTTTAAAACATAGCTTTAACATGGTTGGTTAACATCTGCTAAAATAATTGGAAACACTTTCTGGGTGTGGTGGCACATGCCTGTAATCCCGGCACTCAGGAGGCTGAGGCAGGCATACTGCCACTAGCTGGAGGCCAGCCTGGCTACACACTGAGTTCAAGGCATCCTGAGCTGCATAGTGAGAGCCTATCTCAAAAAAAAAAAAAAAAAAGGAAATACACAATTAAAGTTATTTAATATGCTTTTTCTGGTAGATAAGTTGTACGCTTCATAATATTTATAGTGGCTTATGTTTCTGACCAAATTTTTTGTTTCAAGAAAACAAAAAAAATACAACTTCTTTTCTAATTTTCAAAAATCTTCAATCATTCTCATTTCTGTGATGGGAACTTTAATTAAAACAAACACAAATATATGCATGTTTTGAAAATAATTGCTCGATTATATCCTCAAATGAGCCTACACATGGGAACTCAGAGATTAACACTGTAGATTTCCTAGTGTGTGTCTATTTCTATTTTAATTGGTTTTGCTTATTTGTTGCCTCCTCTTACCTCCTTTGTACTCTCTTGCACTCAAATTTTTCTCTTTTCCTATTTGTATGTATTTTACCTAATGAAGATTGTAGTATACTATTTCTGATCTGCTTTTTATTTAACCTTATGAATATTTTCCCACATTAATATTTTTTTATTATTCTTTTTACTGACAGAACAATCTGTCACCATATAAATATATATTATTTTTTAGTCTCATGCTATTGGATGTTTTGGGTTGATTCCAATTTTTCAATATTTTATTTCAAAACAAACACCCTTATCCATATGGTGTTGCACACTTTTTCAATTATGTCCTAAGGAAACATTCCTAGATGTAGAAAAACTAGGTCAAATGGTAAGCACACTTTTAAAATTTTCATAAAAAAGATTGCCTCACAGAGGAGCAAAACGCTGATGGTATTAGTGCATGAGGGTGCAATTGTCTAGGGAGAGTTTTTCTCTTATGTAGGAAAGCAATCATTTAAAAACATTTTCAGTTTTGGGCATTCTTGAAGGAAAATTAAGTCATTTGAGTACTCATGCACAGGAATGAACATATGTAAATGTTTTACATCTAAAAAAAGTACTCTTTTTGTTTGAGACAGGGTCTTGCTATGTAGCTCAGACTGGCCTTAAACTCGCTATGTAGCCTAGGTTGGCCTCATACTCGCAGCAATCCTCCTGCCTCAGCCTTCCAAGTGCTGAGATTAGAGGTGTGCACCACTGTACCTTGATAGAAAAAGTATTCTTGAGAGAATTTTGTTAAGTGGAATATAAAAGTCAGCTTCTGTTCTCAACTGAGCTATGATATTTGTTATTATAAATAATTCCTTGATGTCATCTTAATCTTCAGTTTTTCTGATTTGTTTAAAGAGATTATAACACCTATTATTCTTTTCTTCAAGGTTTACTGTGAGAATGAAATTCTTAAAAAGACCATAGAGATACTCTTCTACCTTTTCTCTTTAATTGTGAGGAAATAAAACATTAGAGAAATTAGGTGAATAAATATGATCCCAATATTTAACTTCTGATAGTGGGAAGTAGTCTAATTCAAGAAAAGTTCAATATGTATTAATCTTAAAATAACACATATTACTCAAAGACAGTAGGATATATTTTTTCCTTTCAATAGATTTTTTAAATGGCAGTTTTGAAATTTATGTGGAAAAATAATCATAGTAAGTAACCTAGAAATGAAATGATTTTCTTTATAGAATAAAAATTATAAATGGCAAAATTAAGTAATAAGCAGTAAAACAATCGTTATACTCCTTAGAAAATCAGGAAAAAGCCAAGGTGATAGTTTTAATTCCATCATTATTTATATATAGTCAGAAATGAAGCATTTGGAATTATTAGAAAAAAGGCAAGAATATATTTTCTCTTTTTTATGAGTAGATATCAACTAATCAGAAAATCTAAGAAAATTATGGAAAATTTGCTATGAATGTCAAATAAAAGTTAGTCAAATACAAAGTTACCTTTTACAAAAGTAGTCTACAAAACAAATATTTAAAAATGCCTTCTCTGTATTTGCTATGATCAGTCTGAGAACTAAATAAAACAAAAATATACCATTCACAATTGTAACAAAACATGAACTATCTAGGAATAAACTTGGTAAAAAACTAAGCAGGAAAAAAAAAAACCTCACATAAGTTCACTAAGAGGAATATGTAGAGATTTGAATAAAGACATAATACCACAAAGGCATGATTTTCCCTCAAATTTACCTTAGGTTTGTTGCAATTTCAATAAAAATCCCAGGCAGATGATTTTGTTTGTAGTTTTTGAACTTAGTAATTCTAAATGTAGTACAAGAGACATGCAAGTTTCTGTCTCAAAGGAGGGTGAAAGACAACGTGTGCCTACTAAACATTCAAACGATTAAGCTTCAGTAACTTAAAGTAAGACTTGCACAAACCTTTGAAGAGACAGAGCTGATAGAAGTGCCTGTGTGGTAGGTACCCTGTCATGTATAAAACACAGGTGACCATTACAAGCTTGTGAAGAAAGTAAGGTGTAAGCAAATGGAATTCTAGATAATTTACAGATAAAGAAAGTGATACAATTTAAATATTAAGACACTTTTAAGTAGATATTTGTCAGACCTCATGATGGATAAGGAATCATAGAGAAAATAATTGATTATCTATAAATAATGGAGTCTAAGAGTTCTGCATGTCAGTATACATAATACAAATTGAAAAATAAATGTGATATGCTGACTACTATAATCACAACAAACCAGTGTAATCTTAAAGTGCAAATAGTTTTCTCATACTGGACACTAACATAAACTGAAATGGGTCATTATTATGAATAGAGAAGTCACAGAAAAGTTGTAAACAACATTGATCTGAAATAATACTTCTGTATAAAAAGAATGCAGACTTATGAAGTGGGGTTTGATTTTGGAGAAACAGGTGCTACTATTGACTGTATTTTTGTAATTTATAAATGTAGTTTTGGAGAACATTGGGCAATGTGCATTACAATTGTCTATCCTTTGATGTAGCGATTTTACTGCTAGTAATTTTGACTAAAATGAGTCGGATATTTGTAATAATGTATATCTTGTAAGTTAATGACATTGTTTATGATAAACATAACGAGTAGAGTAAATAGAAAACAACTAGCTATTCCTTAAATAGAGGGTTCTGAGGGGTTCTAAGGAAGGTACCCCAGTCATCTAGAGAACGTTTACAAATATTTGCCCTCAATTTTCAAGAGTTTCATAAATATTTACTCTAGACAAATGAAATAAAATGCCTTTTAGGCTTTGTCCTTCTCTCTGACATTCAATAGACTGTGCTTATCGTTCCCTTTCTTCTCAAACTCTTTGTCCTTCCCTAGAGGAAACAAGTTAAGGTGTCTTTAAGAAGTCAACTGTCCAAGAGAACAATAGATACAAAGAACATTTGTTTCAGTTTCTTTCTTTCCATTGCGGTTTCTTTTGAACTACTCTCAAAATATATATTGGGATAGGAACCTTACTTTTCTTAAAAGTCATTTGAATATTGGAAAAACTGATAAAAAAGAACAGCAAATACACAAATTTGTAGACTTTTCATTCCTTAGCCTTCCACTTTAAAATGTGCACTTTATTTTAATTCTTTCTATGTGACTTTATTTGAAATACAAAGAACCTTCAAAATAATAGATGTGCTACTTCTGTCTTCTTCATTTCTCTTTGTATGATATGTTAATACTTTGTTATTAATAGATAAATCTCGGATAAACTTGTATTTTAGTGTTCTTAAATTGTGATGTAGGTCTGAAATAATGTATACTCTTTTAGTGAGATGGGATGCAGAGGAGAATTGAAACTAATTTACTTATTTTTTCCAGAGTTTCCAATTATGATATCTTCTGGTATACTCATAACCTCTTCTTTGTCTTCTACATGCTGCTGATGTTGCATGTTTCCGGGTAAGTTTAAAAACATATTTTTTTAAAACCAAACATATGTGCCGAAATCTCTTAAGTGTTTTACAAAGAATATGCCCAAATCCTACATTTTTTGAAAAGCATGTGTACCAAGCTGTGAGCTCAAAGTTATGGTCCTTAAATTAATTCATGGAGATGGAGATAAAAACGATAGGTTTTTGTACATATGATGTTTGCATTGCCCCCAGCAGAGGATTTGGAGGTTTTGGCTTGATGTTGACACTCATGTAACTCAGTAGGCTGTTCACTCCTATCAAGATCACTTGGTTTAGCAGAAAGATACGGAGGAGGAAACGGAATATTAATGGAATAATGTCAGGTGCTTCTTCAGTGGGACTCTGTCCTTATTAGAAATCATTTCCCTGTTCTTCTCACTCAGCAACTCAGCTTTAAGATGAGGGGACCATGTGGGAAATCATGGCCTCCCTTACTGTGGGAAAGGCTTGTGCTCCACAGGAACCAGTGTCTGGCAGCAAACGCCCCAGGTCCCTCAAGGGAAACCCTCAGTTACAAGAACACACTGTGCACAAGGAGCTGAGGCTGTGGGTCCCCAAGTGATTTTATAGTTCAACTGTTGCTCCATTCTAGGTGAACTTCACCTAAAACTGTGGTGACAAACCCATGGCACCTGTGCTACAGTGGGTTATTTGCATCATTGAAAGCTCGGAAAGGTGTGCCATCACTGACCTGTAATAAACAGTATACCTAGGAGGACCACTGGTGTTTCCCATTTATCTTACCCTAAATAGCCCCAGAGAAGGGGGGCTTGGGAAGAGTTCAAATCCGTTACTAGATCTTTCTTCAGAATGTTTTATAATGTAATTTGTCAGTGCAGTAGGTTTACATAAATTATATATTTATTTCACGGTGCACTTTCATAATGTTGAGATTTTTCCCCCCTTATTTTGGAGACCACTGGTCAGGGCAGCAATGTTAAGTGGGTTTAAATGCTTAGTTTTGTTTGATACCATGTTCTAGAACTTAGAATTGCAGAGTGTTAAAAACTTGGCCAACTATCATAATCTCAACTTTGAGCTAAGCATTCCTGCTTCACAGGGAAGAAGGCTATGATAAAAGATCTGAGTTCCATTTTTCCCCCTTTGTAGAGAAAACATTCTCTGCAGTCTTAGGACACAAGAAAGACTGGGTAGAGAAAGTCTGCATTCCATTCTCTTCTTTACATGGCTTGTTTGCCTTTCCAGGACTATGACCACAAAGTGGACCTAAAATAAACAGATACTCTACAGGGTAGCAGTAATTTAAAATATAATTACACATTGCTTACTACTTATCAGGTATACCTCAAACTGCTTCAGATACTTTATGTCATTAAATGGTCAAAATTTTTTAAGCATAAACAGCATTGTAAAAGTCCCTTTACAAATGGAAAAACTAACCCTGACAAGCATTAAGTAACTTGATTGTACTCACTTAAAAGATGGATGCTGGGTTCAAACCCAAGTATTTTCACTGGAAAACTCCTATGTTTATTGTTAGACTGTATTTTTTAGGTGAATTTGTACCTTCAAAAATTAGGCTTTAACATGTTTTAAAGGATATCATTTAAATTTAACTGGGATTGGGGTTCCTCTCTCACCTCCCTCTTTTCCTCCCTCCCTTCCTTTTCTTATCAGGTAAGAGAAAAATGGACTCACTTATTCATATAATTAATTATGCATTCTTTTTCCTTTATGTTTTACTAAGTTAAAACTCTGCAAAAGCTATTTCTTTGCAATCCAAAATAGAGTCAACTTTTTAAAGGTTCAGGAGTTCAAAGAGACATCATAAGTTTAATCAGGAGTTAGTTCTTTTCTCATTATTTGGTAGGTAAAAGGATGGCAGATTTAAATTTAGGTTTTACTTTTGAAGAAAAAGTGTCATAGACAGAAAGTAACTTAATTTATAAGAGAAATAGCAAAATAGCATCTACAGTGCATTATATAATCATCCTATTATTAAACTGACTTCATAGTTATTTATTTGTTATTAGAATGAAGAAAATAATTATTCTAATACTGAAATAAATGTAATTGAATATATGAATAATACAATAAGCACTCTATAGTGTACATTTTATTCCGTGAAATTGAATTTTGAATAAAGCTACAGATAATATGGAAAAATTGCAACTGATAAGATTTCCAGTTTTCTCTAAGTGAGACGTGCTTGTTGTTTTCTTGTTGTTGTTAATAAGGAATACTATATGGGTCTGTCTTTTGAAGTAATTTTTGTACCACTGTTAAGAACTTAAGCAGATCTTTACTTCTGAAATACCTAATTTAATACTCTAACTTTCTATAGGTGAAGTGGAGTTGTTCACAAAAAGTTTCTTGCATTTCCATTGAGATTTTTGTTACACACTATACTTTAGGTTCAACTGGAAAATCCCTATTTGCTGGGCGTTCACTTTGCCCACCCATGTGCCAAGGACTGCAAGGTAAAGAGGAGCAGCGTGTTATATGGTCCCTAGTCTCCCAATGCTGCTAACTTGCTTGGAATTGAAATATCAATCTAAAAAACTAGAAATAATTATGAAATATATGCTTTTAAAACAGAAATATGATCATTTACAAGAATATAAAAACTCACAGAACTGAAGGATTAATGTTGGTTAGAAATTGGAGAAAATATTAAGCATCAAAGATGAGGCAATTAAATATTGTTGGCTGTTTTTTCTCCTTAAACTTTTTTAATAAAATGAGCATTTGCTTCATCTGATTTTGTAAGATTATTTTTAATGTAGAATCTTAAATGATATCTTGAATAAGCCTTTTTACTGTCAAATTTTTTTCTTAAGATTTTTTAAAATGGAAAATAATAACTATTTACATTTATGAATATCATGTGCTGTTTTGATCTATGTACACATTGTGAATGATCAAAGCAGTCTCATTAGTACAGTCATTGCCACAAATACATTGCCTCTTTCGATCTTCCCCAGGACATGTCTATAAAGTAAAAGTCTAATTCTGAAGGTGTCCATTCTGACCTCACAAAACTCTAATTCTCACAGAGTTCTTCTTTTTCTTTTTTTTTTTTTGTCACCTAGAATTCATTTTGCTATAACTTCTATCCAGTGATTTGAAAGTCTATGAAGCTGGAGGCCATAGAATTGAGTGTCTCCCCTTTTCTAAATTCTCTTCATCTGCTCCTTACCTAATAACATTTTAAATTGCATCATTATTTTAAACTCCTTTAGTCAGACTAACAGGCAGCATTAATCAAATGATTATCCTTTACCTTACTAATGTTTAATCCTGTTAAATCTACCCAGCAACCCTAAAATAACATTATTATTATCAACGTCATTGCCATTGTCCAGCAGAGAAAACAGGGGCAATGAAAGGAGAAATAACTTCTGTAGGTTTTGGCCAGGAAGTAGAAGTCCTTGTGTTTGAACCCAAGCGTTAAGATTCCAGAATCCAAATTCACAACCAGAACATTCTGTTCTCTCTGGTTTGGCATAGTTTCTCTGTATCCCTTTTCAAACTGGAAACTAAACTAAGTGAAAGCAATGCGGCTGGAGTGTGTAATGTGGTATTGGCAGCATGGAAGTCTTACTTTTAGACTACCAGTATTGGAATCAGTGTTATTTAAGACCCAATTATTTTCTCCTACGATTATCTGTACCCTTAGCTTAATCTGGTTTTCATTCTTATTACCTATATGTTGCATTATTTTTATTATTTGTAAGCAAATACATTGCTTGCCACTCTAAAAACCTACATTTCATATTCTGTATGTTTCTTTTCAGTGTTCAAAAATATTTTTAAAATAGATTAATTTACTTTCCCAAGTTAGCAGCATGATATGGTGATTAAGAACTTCATCGCTTACTAATCAGTGATTCCTGGCAGATAATTTCACTTTACTTTTTCTTACCCATTAAATTGGATTAATAAAATAATCTGTATTGTAAGGTTCTCAACAGGTATAGATGGGGAATGTAGCAAAGTAGGAAAATATAAATATATTTAATAAATATTAGCAATAATTTTTTATAATAACACCACCAATCATTGATGTATATGTAAGAAACTTCACATTTAAATGAAGGACAAAATTTTAAAAAATAAAGTTATAGTGCTTTGAAGAGCCTAGGGTATCTTATCAGCAAGTAATTTGATGGTTATATAGTTAAAACTACTTAACACATCAGGATGGTCATTAAAAGAACAGACATTTTTATGATATTGTGAGAGCTCTAAAATTCACTTGGTTTAAGCAATGGTTATATCTTTCAAGATGCAAAACAAGTTCCTCTGTTGGTTTTTTCTAGCTTTATATACCTTTCTACGTGGTTATTATTCATGTGCTTTATTAAAGACATTTCAGCTCCAAAGACACTTGGGGAGAGGGAGGGTGACCAAGTCTGTTGCTTGTTTGCAGGGATGGATGGAAAGAGGAGTTCCTTTCTCCACTTTAATTTCAAAAACTTCTCAAGAGGAAATGCACACTGGTGTTCTCACTTACTGCTAAAGGGATATTGGAGAGAAAAGAAACAATGAATCTCAGCTTAAGAACTTAACCTGACAGCCCGTAAATGAGGTTTGGCATCTTGGCCTCGGCAGGGTCACCAGAGTCAATGCCCCTACTGATTTTATGACTGTATTTTTTGCTTATATTTAAATGAGAGTGAAATTGTGGTATGAGTCTAGAAAAGATATAGAAGAGAAGATCCTCTTCAAAATGCATGAATGACAAAGAGAGCAAATATATAGTGTAAATAATTTTTTTGCTGACTGCTGGAATCATTGGACCATTTTTTAAATATACAATTGGTATATGAATTTTTTAAGCAGAGTTCTCTGCCATTCGAGAGTACTTGTTTGGCAAGATTGAATCATAGGACGTGATTTACTTGAATCATGCTTTCTAGGGAATTTAAAGAATGGTTTTCTCTCTGTGTGTGTGTGTGTGTGTGTGTGTGTGTGTGTGTGTGTGTGTTGTTAAAAACCTTATTCTTTATGCCAGGGAACACA